GAACTAACTTGTTTTGTGAACATTTCACAGCATTAAATGTAAATATAAAAGGAAAAAAGATATGATATGCCATTCATTAATTATTAGTAAATAATATTTGTTGGCAAATAGCCGTGTTATAAGGGGAAACATAAAAATAATGTCCACCTCAATCATTATTCTCCTATAACAGTATGCCCTCCAGTGTTTTATTCCTGAAATTATTAACAAATTTATGAATCTAGGATTGAACTACCCAGAAGCCTGCAAGACTTAGGTTCAGTTGGCTGAAGACCGAACTCTGTATGTAAACACGGATTCGTTTGGGATTCAGTCTCAGCTTTTGCCGACCAAACTATGGATTACTGACTTTAAAAACATTAAGCTATAACCCTAGAGCTTTTGATGCTCATTCAGAGCTCAAACAGGATCCGGATGCATGAGCTGCAAGCTTTGAGGCTGCAAACTTAACATTTCTACAAATACACACATATAGTCACTTAGTCACATGTGCATCAAGTGGACTGGAAATTTACCTTTTGGACTCAATTGTATTTGTCAGCTGATTTAGAAATAGACCATGCATGGCTGTTCCATACCATAGAATAAATATGGAATGAATTTTTCGGACAATATTTTGACAGTATTTTGAAGTGTTTCGAAAACAGAAACACAAATGATACCGATTCTGAACGTGACAATTAGATTTCACAGTATGCTTATTTTTTTCTCAGCTGGGCTAAGATGTCATCTGCCAAGGACAGAGTAAGACAGTACAAATTTAACTGTAGCAAAAACATGTCAGACATTTTCCTATAAGTAAGCACAGCTTATCATATTTGTACAGAACTCCATTAATTCTTTATTCTCTATCATAACTCTCACTAATATGTTTGTGGTTCTCTAATATTAGCAACTGACCTGAATAGGAAAACCATATGTTTCTTTTTTTTTTGCTCATTTCTTAATGATTACACTGTCATCCTTGTCTTCAGACAGAGCACACACACACACACACACACGCAGGACAGTTTTTCCTGTGTCTGCTCATGGCCGCCTGCCAAAACTCACAGGAAGAATAAAAAGAGTCAGACCTTAATCGAGGGAAAAGTAAAAAGAGCTTCTCATTTTTTCTGTCTTGTGCCAATGTAACTATGGTTTTGGAATTAATATTTATCTAGCCACTTTAAGAACTTTGATAACAGACTTTCCTCATTTCCCTGATGCTGAGAAAGTCTACTTGGGTGTGCGTGCGATGTGTTTCTCTTGAAAAGACAGCTTGGGACTAAATCAAAATTTATACACAGCTAGCTCAACAGACATCCAAAAAAGAAAGAAAGAACTGCGTGTGTGTCTCTGAAGCAGAGACACTATAATCTGGTTGGCTTTGACATGTTATGACATCACATTAATAATGCCTTGGATTTTTTTTCTTCTCCATAAAGCGTGCTACACTCTGACAGATATGATTAAAAAAACATGTTTAATGGACATGCATGAGCTACATTATGAGAGAGTCACAAAATCAGTTGCCGCGGAGACAGAACAAACAATACACACCATGTTTACCTCATAGGTATTATTAGTTGATTTCCAACATTGTGATGTGACACCCATGTCTAATCTATTGCTTTTTTCACCCACTTAAAGGATGGATGAAAACTATAACATCATCCCTCATGGAGTGAATTTCCAGGACCCCATCTTCCCTGACACACCGGAAAACCACCGCATGTTCGCCAGCCTCTTCCAGTTCTCCAACTGCACAGCTGGGACGCAGGTCCACACGTACACCCCCGAGTGGGAGGCACAGGAGGACAGCCGGGTAAGCCCTTGTCAAACAATCAACCCCGCAATTATGAGTATGAAAAGCATTGGAGCACCAAAGCTATAATAAAACCCACATGTACGTTTACCTTAAACACTCTATCTCTGTAATCTAGTCTCTCTAATTGTTAAGATGATCTCATGTCATTCATGAAAATTGAGTCCATATAATTTAAAGCCATAATTGCCGTCTACCTCATCCCACACTGAATTCAAAATAGCCTTTGAAAAGCACTTAGTGGTCTTGCTCTTATATATGCGAGGCAGCTTGATGTCTAAATCCTTGCTAGCTAAGTGTGATTTTCTCATGATTTGATTATGTTTTTGGATAATTACCTGCCATGCTGAAATGGAAATAAGCCTAAGTAATTAAATTTGTATTCAGATACTGGATATCTGACCAAATTCCTGTGCCATCACATCATCATCAAAACAGAGAAGAGCACTTACGCATTCTATACAGACAACAGTGGACAAGTTTTTAAAAGTTTAAATGACCTAAGAAAAAGACTTTAATAACAGAGCAGAACTGATTAAATTAATGAGCAATTACTTCCCCATCATTTCTACCATGAACAGAGATCGGTGGAGTGAAGAGACAACGATGAGGCTCATGTTTAAATGCCACAATAACTTTTACCTCAGGTGACGAGACAGACCCTGATGTGGATGATGCTAAGTGATTAATTTCACATCGGAAACTTATAATTCTTTAAAATTTGGCCGTAATGTCAGTGGAGTCTTGAAATCTTTAAACGCAATTTACTAGAAAATCAGAATACTACAATTTTACTTCCAGTTGAGAAGGATGCAGAAACATATTTCCGTTCAGAAAGTCTACTTTTCAGAACTAGCTATATACAGTAGCAAATGTCAAAATTTGACCATGTGAATTATTTCTCCATTTTTCTTATCCTAGCAATCCTCTGAGATCATCTGACACTAAAATGTCTTCCATGAATGGCAGATCTCTTAGCATAGCTTCAGAATCTTTGAAGTGCTCTCCCTTTCCAAACACATATGTGCCTGCAACAGCTTTACAACTTTTCGAACTTAAGTCAAAACACACCTCTTCCTACTAAGTACCAAAATACATGTGTGGAAAAAATGTGGGAAAAAATCTTAGTTAATTTATTTCAACATGCCTGATTAAGTGGATTAATTACAATATAGCCAATACATGTTTACTTTTCTCTCTCTAAAGCACTTTGCTGTTCGGATTCCTTATAAGATGTGCATTCTATGCAGCATGCTAACAAAACAGAGCCAATACCATTTCCTCTCTTCAATACCTCTGAGCACATGCATGTGCCTGAGCTTGTGTGAGCATCCTTTCATGAACATGTTTCTATTCGAGATGAGGAATGAGAGGCTGTGGGTTGTGGATGACTAACCAAACCAGGCCAGGGTGGAACTCAAGTCTCTAAATTTGGCTGATGTTCATGCCTGTGGCTTTTGCTTGCAGAGAGATATCATCGGTCGGTTGTATGCGGATCCTCTTAGACTCTAAATAGCTTCATATTCAACTTGGCCACTCCATAAAGCTCTGAGAAAAAAAATCTTACAGGTTATGCCTGGATCACGGTCTTTCAAGCCTTGGAAGTAATGATCAATCCGTCTGAGTCTGCAATCCTTAGTGTTTTATTCTCTTAGAAGTATGTGATTCTCATAAATCATTGTTATATATTCAGACCTTATATTACAGGCACTTACATTATTCCACTTACATTAGTTCTCGCTGTGGCTGTACATTTTTGTGTAATTTTACAACTTTTCATCTCAGATCCACCAGCATCACTTTGCTATGTCAACACTAAGCCACATGCTCTAATGTCCTGTGCAGAAATTAATAAATCATGGTGTTCCTTCCAATGACCTTGGGATTTTTTTTTTTTTTTTACTAAGGAGCTGGTTTCAATCAGGTCCTGAACTCTTGTGAAAGCCTTCTGTCATGGCAAAGCAACGAGAGCAGATTAGGTTACGGTAATGAGTTGGTCTCGGTTTGTATCAACGATCATATGGAAGTATGGGGAACAGCAGACATCATTTGCTTTCATATGTAATTGCATTCATATTTTTTGTTGAAGTCAGAGCCAAGTTTTACCGAAGGCTATGTATGTATAAGAAGTCAAAGTTGCTTTAATTGATACTGATTATGATAAAAATATGAAAAAAATAGCTACCTTTTTTTTAATTTCACATGGCATTTCCACAGCCCATCCAGTAAAAATAAAAAAAAGAGAGGGAAAAGTACATAAGCACAGAGAAATGTCCATCACCAGCGGAAATAGCTTCCTATTGAAAAATAATTCCTCTGAAATGTTTGCATACCTGTGAGACAGGTTGTCATGAAGGTCACTGAACAGATTGAGTGCACAGCAGCAGTGCATGGCACAGACAATTACCCAGCTGTGTTTGTACAAAAAGGCCTTGTTTCTAGTGCAGTGGACAGTGTCCATATAGTCTATATGTGGGACAGACGATTAGATGCTTCACTGATATACAGATGTGTGCTTATGCAGCTGTGTTGTCTATTGTCTTCTATAGTTTTATTACTGTAGTGTTGTTGTGTAGTCTGGTCATACCACACATTACCCACAATGCTGTAAGCACACTCCTTCATCCACCTACATATGGTTCACATTTATCCAAGTCACATATTTATATCATAATACTCCAGATTCAAATCATAACTACACAAAAACCCAGATGGTAGCAATACAGAAAGAGCTGTGTAGGAAATCTCAGATTATAGGAATGAGCACCGCATCATGTGAGACTAAATTTAAAATTCAGCATACTCTAAAACGTTTTCTGCTAGATTTACTATATAATTTACAATATATTTTAAACAGTTGCACAGTTGAATCTGCTGGAGTCACCTACATATCACTGTTGTCATAAAACCTTGTAACAGTGATATGTACTAATATGATATACAAATTCTGTTCTACCACAGTGATGTTATATATTAATATAATTTGCACATTCTGATATGGTCTACTAGTGATCAACATATCTCGATCTACTGCAGTGATGTGATCTACTAATGTTGTTCTTCTAGGGGTCACCACAGCAGATCATCAGTACACATATTTGATTTGGCATAGTTTTATGCCAGATGCCCTTCCTGACACAACCCTCCCCAATTTTATCTGTGCTTGGGACTGGCACTAGGAGTGCACTGGGGTTGGTTCCCTGCCCGGGAATCGAACCCAAAGCGTGGCAATAAGAGTGCTGAGGCCTAACCACTAGTCCCCCAGGGACCCAGTGATATGATCTACTAATGTTAAGTACATATTTTAATCTAGCGCACTGCTGGGAGCTCAAATAATGTGATCTACCACAGTGATGTGATCCATGAATGTGACCTGCACATTATGATCTACTACAGCGAAGTGATCTATAATTTGTGATCTACATTTTCTGATCTAGTACAGTTGTATTATCTACTAATGTGATTTACATATTTTGATCTAGCACAGTGAGATTAAATAATGTCATCTACCACAGTGATGTGATCCATGAATGTGATCTGCATATTTTGAGCTACTACAACAATGTGAGCTACAAATGTGATCCCGACTTTCTGATCTACCACAGTGATGTTATCTGCTAAGGTGACCTACAAATTCTGATCTACTACAGTAATATTTATATAATAATATTTTCTATACATTCTGATCTACCACAGTGATGTGTTCTACCAATGTGATCTACATATTCTGATCTACCACAGTAATATATTCTACTAATGTGATCTACATAGTCTGATCTACAATGTTAATGCGATTTACTAATGTGATCTACATAGTCTGATCTACCACAGTGATGTGGTCTACTAATGTGATCTACAGATGTACCACAGCTATGTGATCTATGAATGTGATCTGCTACAGTCATGTGATCTACAAATGTGGTCTACTTATTCTGATGAGGCTCAGTGATGTGATCTACTAATGTGATCTACATATTCTGATCTATCACAGTGATGTGATCTACAAATGATATCTATATATTGTGCTTTACCATAGTGATGTGATCTACTAATGTTATGTACACATTATTATCTACAGTGTTAATGTGATCTACTAATGTAATCTGCATAATTTGATCTACCACAGTGACATTATCTACTAATCTGATCTGCACATTCTAGTGTAGTAATCTGATATATTCATTCAACCAGTTATGATCTACTAATGAACTGATCTACCACAGTGATCTGTTCCACTAATGTGATCTACATACTCTGATCTGCTGATCTACTTATTTTTATTGAATATGTAATGTTATTATAGACCTCTTTCAGGCACTTACATGCAGTGATTTGAACTGAACAGTGTTTGGTCATTTAAAAAAAAACAGATTTCTCACGTCTATTTTTACGGAATAACTGCTTGTATTTTTATGCTAATTGAGCTGCTTGGAAACACGCAAAAGATAAGAATTTCAATCCTCTACTTAAATTCTCATTCTTGCGCATATCCCAGTTAAAACAAAATACAGTTTTTGATGCATTCAGATTAGGTTGTGAGAAGGTTGGAAAACTGTGTGTAGATGCTGTGCTTTCCCTGAAGTATGGAACATTCCATAGCCGCAGACAATTAGGCGAAGCTGCAATAGTTGTGGTCAAATCTGTTATCAAAACCAGCAGTGGCTTGCACTCACTCAGACAAAGACTTTTCATAATTAGAGACAGATTTATAAATTAGGAAAACCTGCTCACTTCATCAAGATTTCCCACAATACCACAATTCCCATGCCAGTTTAGTAAAACATAGGAATGCTGTCAGTAGTTATTCATTAAACCTTTTATGAACTGAAGTGCTAAAGGTGCTCTTTTCAAATGATCTTGATGCCTATAAAGGCAAATACTGCAGTACAAATTGAGACATGATTCCAGATAAAATCTATGTTAGAGACATGATGTAATGAAGCCCTCTGGGGATGCGGATTACAGATAATTGAACAGAACATAAAAAAATGCAATTTATTAAATGCAGTTCATTAATTGCACCTCACAGGCAAAAAGATATCTCATAAAATAACGGAAATTCAGTTTTAGGTTAATACACATGAATATTGGCCAGCCAAAATGAGCAGTCATAAAGTCTTATCCTGAATACTACCAACCGAACTTGCACTAAATCCTGTTTGAACTGATTTGCTAAGAAAGGAGGAAGAAATAAAGAGCAGATGCTATTAACTTATTACTACAACACTGTTGAATGTTCTTTTCTGATTGGTCAGAAGCAGTAGTTTGGCTGCAAGGAAAAGACGTTCTGTTCCCATTTGCTGATTCACTTGCTTCATTTTTTTTTTATTACATCCTGTTTACATCTACTCTTCTTCCTGTCTCACAGCTCCTGTGCTCTACAGTGCAGAAAGCTCTCTTTGAGGAAGAGGAGAAGGTTAAAACTCTTTCTCAGAAAGTTAAAGTCCTTGAGAAAGCCAACAACCACCTGAGGGACAAAGTGAAGAACCTCAAACGTTTGCTGAGGCTGGCCAAACGGGAGACCAAGGATCAGACGGTGCTTCTCAAACAGCTTCATGAGCCTGAACCAGAGCTCCCACATCCACAGCAAGATACCACCCAGGTCCAAAAGCCTGTTAATGGGAAGATCCTGCCTAGGAAGCTCAAAAACTAGGGAATTTAGTCTAATTGCTTCCAAACTGGGGAATTTTGCCTAAGTACTGCCAGGGAGTCAAACCGGCTACACAGCTGTAGGTCTGTGTATCCATAACATTTCCATAAACTAGAATGAAAATGGTTATAATATGGAAGGTAATGGACTTTGTATGTATGCTTCAGCTCAGGATTAACAGAGAAATGATGTAGAGAATATGCATATGCATCAGGCTAGTACTTTATGAGAAGTAATGTTAAGTATCAATGAATGAATATTTACCAGCCGTTACCAGCAGACACATTAAATAGGAAACTACCATAATACTACCATAATACAATCACAGTATCAGACACATACAGATTAGATCATGGTCAGAGGTCAGCATCTTGTCACATAAAATAACCAGTGGATAATGGAGCCTCCATTAATGGGTTTCAATTCAATGAGCATCCACTCCTGTTCAAATGTATGACATGTATAACTTTTGAAAGTTGTGAAAGCCTTCCCATTCATTTGTACCTGTGAAAATTCCCATGCATACCTGTATTTCAAGTTTGGAAACACTTGCACCCATTTGCCAGTAGGCTGTCATCAGACTGATATTATACCTTCTAGTCCTGCATAAAAGAATGTCAAAATTCCACAATATTTTACCATTTAAGGTTATAAAAAGAAAACTATTTTAGTATATTCTTGAAACACGGTGCACTTGACATCTTTGGAATGTTATACTACACTCTTTCCAAAGGTCTCTCAACATTTCTTTTATAATTCCAATCTGTATAGTGTTCCTTATACTTATATATGAGTGAAATTGTTTCTCTTTTTTCCTTTCTTTTTAAAAAAATATGCAACCAGGGTGCTGAGCACTCCATAAATAGAACCACTACTCAGTATGTCTTATTTTAAGGTCAGGTTTATTTAGTATTTAGTGAAGTGATAAGAATTTGTTATGTTAAGGTCAGCAATTTTATTAAAAAAAATAACGTAATGTAAACAATATTGTTTTTCATGTATGTTTAACATATTCTTAAGCTTTTATGTATGCCATTAAAATGAAATAAACCTTGGGTTGTACTTACTGCCTTATGTAGAGTTAACAGCTTTTTTACCATACCAGCAGGAACTTGTTTTGCAGACATTCCACAACATTAAATGTAACTACAAATGGATAAAATATACGATGGATCATTCTTTACTAAATAAAACAATTATAAGAGGAATAAAACACTCAGGATATGCTGTTATTGGATTGGGGTGGTAACAGATGTAATGGTGGTAACACAACCTGTAATTGATTATTTTTATATATAACGTCATTCCTTATCGTTTTTTTATTCCTTACATACTACTTCATGCTATTCTGTTTTGTTTTTAGTGAGGCTGAGGCATTGATGTGGAAATTACTGCTATGGTAATCATAAGTTATAGATGGACCTCCGTGAATATCCATGGGTATTCCCACTTAGCGTGCCATGGAAGACACTTAAAGTCCAGAATTTCACATGAAGTGCACATGGCACCCTTATAAAATTCCAATAAAGGCCATAGGATGCCATAACATGTTCATGACATACCCATAATCACCCTTTTAAAGCCGAATTTGCAGGATGGCACAGAGGTCAGTGTTATGGCCTCAGAATTCCAAGGAATCCAACTCAATCTTCAAAGGAAGTCCAGGGGAATTTTCCATATGTGACGTTCAGTGCCTGCTGCAACTACATTAAAGCCTGCCAGAAGTAGATTATAATAAAAAATTTTAAAAAAAGAGAGAGAGAGAGAACAAGAAGGAACTAATCCTCAGGTTATCATTTTTTCCCACAACAGCATGACACTGCAGATTTACCAGCGGAACATAGATCAAGCCAAATTATTTCCATCAGCGGTGAGAAATATAGCCATCTCTCTGTTCTTAACTGTATGATGACAAGAATGTGGAATCCCAGACTCACTCGAAATCCACTTTTGAAAAACGTGATCTGGATTAAAGCTGTTTTCGGTTCTACATTGATGTATGCTGATATATGTATATATAATTTCTTAGTGGAGTGGAATTTGTTTCCTTCTACGCACCTCACAATGAAGGAATACATTCGATTGACATCCCGGTGTCATCTGGTATGTTTTAGCGTTTAGTTTAGAGAATTTTTATATCATTCTAGCCATATACAAGTATGCAGTAGAACAAAATAGCGTTCTCCAAGATCATACTTTGACAGTACAGAGGTCACAGAGAGCAGTGTACACAACTGTCAACATGTATGGAAAAATCAAGGGAGACAAAGTGGCTGTACAAAATAGACAATACAATAAATACAATAAGGTGGAAAGACTAATAAATACAAACAATGGGACAATACAATACAACATAGGACATTAAATACAACACACAACAAAATGGTGTAGTGGGTGGTGTGTGGTGAGTAGGCCATAATCACCACTAGCAGCATAGAAGTCCCTGAGGTATAGAAATAAAATGACAGTCTTGTCACTGATTAGTAATACTCATTCCTCTGCAGTAATGAGAGGAAACAAGACAAGGAGATGGGGTGGATAATGGTTAAAGTGGCTAGTGAGTGATAGTTTTGTGTCTGTTAAATCTGAGGCAGTTTATTATTGAGGATCCTGACAGC